TCCAGATCCTGCCCTTATTCTTTTTCTCTCCCTTCCTGCTTATAGAAGAAAAAGTTTTTAATGTCCAGAAATCTTTATTGTCCCTTTGGCATTTAGTTATATTTTCAGCTTAATTGCCTATTGATGCCAAAGCGAATTTTTCCAATTTCTTATTTAGGTCTCCTAGTTGTCAATATAAGGAAGGAGAGAGAGGAAGAAAAAAAAGCCAAACCTTTCCCTTTTCACTTTCTTTCGCTGCTTCCAACTCTTCTTTGGGAGCGATGTTATTTCTTGTAAAATTTAAATTCCAGGGTACCTTAGTTATTACTTTTTCAACTTAGCCCGGTCAGCCAAAACTTTCACTTCTTATCTTCCTCCTGCACGTTCTTTTCCGGTTGAGTTCTTCTTTGAGGTGGCCATTTCTGACCACCGCTCCTACCGCCTTCGGGAAAGGGAGTAATGGCCAGCTGAGGAGGAGAGATGCGGCTCTCCTCGACCCTGCTGGCAGTCTCCCCCCTCTTCACCACCTCTATGGGGTGGCTTAGCCCCGAAACCAGCCAGCTCAGGGCGCTCCAGCGGTGAGCCCAGGCAGAAACCGTGCATGATTGCGGATTCCTGTCTGTCGCCGAAGCCCTTCAAACCGGAAGCCCCAAGTGTCAGAATTTTGATCACATGACCATGGGACCATGCTGTATTGGTCTTAAGCATAAGTCACTTTTTTCCAGTGCCAATGTAACTTCAAATGGTCACTAAACAAACTGTTGTTAAGTCAAGGACTGTACACTTGACATGTTAGACTGGGATAGGCATCCCATAAGCCTATAGCTAAGCAGTGTAACAGTCAAAATTTCTGGCACCTTTGTGTGCAGCTTCAAGAGCAATCTATCTTCTTGCTGCCATGCCAGGAAGAGGGCAGAGCTCCTCCAAATCAACAACCTCTAAAGAAATTCAGCTAACCAGCCTACCTACTGCTACTGCTCTGAATGTCAGCAGAATTTCTCTGGTAGCCGAAATGCATTTGAAACAATCCCAAATACTGATAGGAAGATAAGCCACCACCTTTATCTGAAACATATTTAAAATTATGTTTAAAAATATGTTTACACTTAGCACAGTCCTCAAACAAATCTGCAAAGTGGAATCCAAAGATTTTTTTTCTTCTTACATAGCTTCTAAAATTCTGTTAAAATATTCGAGTTTATCTATTTTACTTACTTAATTCAGAAGACTGGGGAAGGTCAGTTCTCATAGGCTTTGGCACAGCAGCAGGAAGACATGACTCAAGGTCAAGCAAATCACAGGAAGGAGCAGATGGTTGGTTGCCACCGGCCTCAAAATTAAACAAAAGTTGTTATACATGATGCCTACTTTGCCTCTGAGCCCATATTAAACACCTCTAACTGCAATAACATCAATAATAACACATCTTGTAGGCAGTGAGGATCTCTTGAAGTCAGTGATTATTTACATACTATACTCATTCAATTTGCATCCCGCCTGACATAAGCCATAGTGCATTTAAGGTAATAACACTAAAACAAACACCCTTACTTCAATAAGGGTAGATCAAATCAACACAAAATTTAAAAAACAGGACAGCAAAGTCCACTTTTCATGAATTTCTAGCAAAAGAAATAGGTCCTAGCTTGGGGCTCAAAATACTTTGAATTGGGCCTAGAAATACCTCTCAGAAGAGAATACTGCACATTCATGGTAGAACTGATTGCTATATTTTTTCTACATGATGATGAGATGGGAGGATTTAAGGTCCCCAGCAAGTTGTTACAGTTCTTCTTGAGGGAATCTTTCAGATATCCAGCTCCCAAGTAATGTAGGATTTTGTGATGGTTAACACAAGGATCTCTAATTCATCTTAGGAGGAAGTTGGTCAATGGCTCCAAGTAGCCATCTGAGACTGGTTTGGCTGAAGCACAGCCACAGTAGGACATCCCTTTGACTTCAGGTGGGGAAAGCATACAGCTGCAGCCAGTCAGCAATGAGGAAGTGCAACTGCCTTTTGCACCTGATCCAAGAACAGGTAGGGCAGAGGAAAGGCAGGAGCAGCTAAGGTCAGTCACATTATTCTCGAGGAGGCAGCCTTGCCCTTCTTGACAGGCTGCACCAGAAGTTGGCTATTTAGCCCAGCAGACAGATGGAGATGATGCTGGGAACATCATTTGTTGTCTTCTTGTATGTTTCTGCCTGGAACTTAGGACTGTCTCCAGCTGTTTCCTTTGCCTTGCCTTGCTTTTGCTTGTGGATTTGCTTTGGTCTTGGAACTTGCCTTTGCCTTGGGAACTCGCTTTAACCTAGTGGACTGGATTTGTCTTTGCCTTGAGGACTAGTGTTGGCTTAATTTGAGTAGCCTGAGAGACTCATTGGGATTGAATTGGTGCTGGCACAGGGAATTGCTGGGGAATATCAATTCAGGTTTGGAAACCTTGATACTTACACTGTGGTGTGTGTGTGTGTGTGTGTGTGTGTGTGTGTGTGTGTGTGTGTGTGTGTGACAGGACAACAGGCTATGCCTCTAACTCTTGGAACTAAGGATCAGTTAAAGAACAGCCATCTTGTAGGATTCATATTCATGGTTCTCAGCTGTTACAGCCTTCAGGTATTGTTTCATCATCTTCATACACTTCTCTTGTTCAGATGACAAGAATCATATTTGGTCTCAGCAACACAGTGCTAAATCTCTACCCAAAACACTTATCACTTCTAGAGATTTTATATGAAAAACTGGCTATTCTTCCAGACATCAGAGTAGGGTCAATGGACCTGTTTCAGATATATGGGTTTGTCACTTTGTAATTGTTTTGTAATTTGAAGAGGGGATTGATTTTGATTATGTACTTATTTGTTATTTTTGTATTATTTTAAAAAGGTGGCTGTAAGCCACCTAGAGTCAGCTGGAGTTGGGTAGCATCAAAAATAAAATAAAACAAATAAATATAAAAAAGCATGGTCTCTATGAAATTCCTGATGTTAAACATGAGGTTTCTACAGGCTTTTTGGACACAATCACAAGAAACAAAATCCCCATTTCACCGTATCCTCATATTTGTGGATGCCACAAATTGCTGATAAATTCAGAAGATCAATGGAGGCATATCCGTCTTGTCTCCTTCCTGTTGAGGACAATCCATTCATTGGCCAAGACCACTAAAGTATCCAATATGACCTCAAAAGCCAGAATGAAATAATTAACTTCCTTCAAAGGTTCCTGCCCAGTTAAGAACACCTTAGAAATCTTGGTCAGTTTTTACATTTGTTACCTGTTATTTGATAAGCATAAATTATATTGAATATGACATATGGCTCCATGCCAGCCAGAAGATTACTGCACACTGAAGATGAGTGAACAAAAGAGAATTGTCTTCTGCCAGGTGAGATTTAGATAAGGCAGATGATAATACCGTAGCTGCTTTCCTGTGTTCACAACATGTTTTTTCCCTCTTCTGTTTCTCGAAGCTCTTCATTCCTATCATGCTTAGAGTGGATTCATATTGTCTAAATCCTCACTCCTCCCTGTATTCTTTTGTTTTTTACTAACTAGAATATCGTGAGGATAGGAAGATGAGAACTTTCAAAAGAATAAACCATGCTTAACTCAGTGAACTTAATTCTGTGAACATTTCTAGTTTCGGAAGGAAAAAATATTCTGAATTTTAGGATGAACCACAAAATGTTGTTCTAGACTGGTAGAAATGACTATCAGTTACTTACTGCTGCACTTTCATTCTGGATTCTCTGATTCTCCCAGAAGCGTACTCTGTTTCTAGAAAACCTATATAAAAATAGTGTAGTCAATATAATCAATTTCATAAAACACATAAATATGTAAACAATTAACATAAATATATATAATCAACATAAAACACATAAATATGGAGATTCATAGCAGCTTTCACATTTATATGCAGTACCTGTCCTTTTATATTTGAGAGTCTGGGATGACTTAGCATATTCAAATCTTGAGCACCATTAAGCCACAGATGCTATAAGGAAACAAAACTGTAGAGGTATTACTGGAACAACTGAAATAAATCTCCTTTGTTCCTATTGTGCAATAATAGGTACTCCTGTAAGCAGCAGATGACTCAAAAATGAAAAACAAGGATTTCAGAGTACCAGCTTCCTGTTCTTTTTTTGAGGGCATAGAACTCTTGGTTAAAGAAAGTTCTGGAGACAATTCTTCCTGAACCCGCCTTATACTGTATATCTCTTAATGTGGAAGGAGGCATAACAAACTAGAACCCTGAGAATTTTCAGCACAAACATTCAGAATGCATGGAAACTTAGCGGCCATGACAGAGGCTTTCTGGAATATGCGACACAAGTGTCACAGTGAAGAGTATAGTAATGTCACTCCTGGATAGTAACAAACAGCTTATAAAGCAAAGGTGGGAAATTGGTTGTGCTCAAATTGCTTGAAATACTGCCTTGCCCAGCACCCCAACATTCTGGTACCCAAAACTAGTAGAATAACTGCCAGAATTCAACAACAATTTAAAACTTTAATTTGTTTTCATTCAGGAATGATGGAAGAAGACCTCCCAGATGCCTTGTGCTCTTAGCCATCCTTAAATCCTGTCAAAAACTGCAATTTTTCAGATTGATTTCACCTATTTTTTTTAGGCTTGTGGTTGAAGGCTTAAGGATAGGAATAGAACATGAGACCTTGAGAGACAAGGAAGGTTGTACCAACAAGCTCCCAAATAGGACAGACCAATCACATAGTGTCTGCCTCCTGATGATCAACGTAACTGAAAACATATCTGGTTGATAATGTGGAGTTAGTCCCAAATAGATGGAAACTGGTTATGCAGTGCCTTCCTCTGGTAACAGACTGCCCTGAAATCCCTGTAAAATAACTACCCTGCCTATAGGTTATATGAAGCCTAGCAGAAGTAAGTGCTTGTTATAGTAACACATACAGATGTTGATTGCTTCTTCTGTCAAAACAACCATCCAACCAACCAACCAACCAACCAGAATCTCCTGGTGAGAGAAAGATGCACAGTTTGAATTGTATTTGAATTGTTTGAATTGTTTATTTTCCTTGTATTTGTATCTTTCCTAGTATTTGTAACAAATACTAATAACAAATACTTATTATCAGAGTTGCATTCACACTTCAGGGCAGACCCCTTATTACTGTTATTTTGAAATGTAACCAGAATCTTTTGTTCTTCAATTTGAACTCCATTTCAAAGGAAATTGCGTTTACAAATGAGTTAGGCAATTAGTGTCTTCTCAGCCTCTCAATAATGTCCCAGAGTAACTGATCTTCTTCATAAATCTCAAACCACCTTCCAAATCTAACTGAAAAAGAAAACTTTGTAGGCTAAAAATATTGAATATTACAACCAGCCTTGGATGGAAATCTCAAGCTATATTTAAATGCACTCCAGTTTGGATGTAAATTCAGTCTCTTGAGATTCTAAGTTCTTTTTTTTTCTGATACAGGCAGTCTTCACTTATGAAGTGCAATTAGGACTGGCAATTCCATTACAAAGTGATATGGTCATAGAGTAAAATGTCATGTGAGTGTTGCTCGACTTACGTCAATTCCAACTGCAATTGTTAAGAGAATAACTGTGGTTCATTGAATAGAATGTCACATGACTTAAGACTTCCCACCAGCTTCCCCAATGACTTCACTTGTCAGAAGCTGGCTGTGAAAGTCACAAATGCTGATAACATGATCACGGGATGCTGCAATCATAGTAAATGCGCAGAGGTTGCAAATGCCCAAATTGAGATCATGTTGATGTGAGGATACTGTGATGGCTGCAGCTTTGAGAGCCCAGCAGGAGTCTTCTTTTTCAATGCTATCATAACTTTAAAAGGCAACTTAACAAGTGCTTGGTAAGCAAGGACTACCTGCATTGCAAAAGGCGTTCCACAACCCTCTAGTATTTCCATGTATTCTGATAGGAAGGGAAAGGGTATAGCAATTTTTATTGATATAGTACTTTTCATATGATACACAGGAGTACTTAACATCCTATTCCAGTCTTCCATAATAGTAGAACAAAGGGATATCTTCACAGTTATATCAATGGTCAACCTTTGGTTTGATTAAATGATATTTGTACGATATTATACGATATTTGTACTAAATACGATATTTGTACTAAATGTGTGATAGCTGATATCCGATTCATCTTACAGCCTCTGAACATCGTGTTATAGTTACAGATGACATTTTTAAATAGTCATTTGTACAAGCAATTCAGCAAAGAAAATAGTATGATAGTTTAACCTATTTATAGATATTTGAACTTTTGGTAAGGAGCCATGTTTGTTTCTTCCTTGTGATATGCTTCTCGAAAAAGGTTGAAGTTTATTCTACATCTCCATTTATTAGGCTTCATACTTGTCCAATACAAAGAACATAACCTATTCATTTATTATTTCTATGAACTGTTCCTAACTTAAGATCCAGCATTCCTTCACCCCACTGTTGGGTAGAAGGAGAAAGTAAATAAAGAGATATGCTGTTCATGAAGAAAGGCACAACGATTTGTTAGCACAGACTACATATATGACATTAAGTAATAATACCTTTCATGTCCCAGTAAGACATTATTTAGATTTTCATTCATTTGTATGAGTTCAGTAATCACATCTTCATTCTCCACAGTTGCTAGCAATTCCATAATTCTATCTTGCATTGCCCGACTTGTTTTGTAGAGCTTCTACCAAGGGAGAAAAGGTATACTATTTACATTTGAATAGCAAAAATAAAGAGATACTGAAAATATTGAAAACATCAAAAGCACAGATCCACATGGCATTAAAAAATGTCATTAATTTATTAATCCTCCCCACCCATCATCTTGTGTTTAATGGAGGAAACATGTCACATTTTAAAACATAGTAAAAAACTTTTTAGAAATGGCCATAGGACTCTCTCCCTTTTGGTGACTGTAACCATACAGCAAATGCTTTAGGTAACATCATGAAGGATGCAGCACCAAAGTACATGGAAGTAATAGCAATAACACTTAGACTTACATACAGCTTCATAGTGCTTTACAATACTCTCTAAGCCAGGAGTCCCCAATCCATGGGCTGCAGACCTGTTGGGAACCAGACCGTGCAAGCAGCGGGCAAGTATGTAAAGCTTTATTTGTGCATGCATGGGATTTAGGATGCTCATATGAAGCATCCTCTCCCCCACCCCCTTGCCACTACTGCTGGTCTGTTTTGCTAGAAAGGTTGGGGACCATTGCTTTAATTGGTTTATAGAGTCAGCATATTGTCCCCAACCATCTTGGCCCTCCTTTTACCGACCCTGGAAGAATAGAAGACTGGTCAGGATCGAACTCCTAGCAGTAGGCAAAATTAGTCTGCAATACTACATTCTAACCACTGTGCCACTATGGTTCCTTAGGGAAGAAAGCCAGAGACAAAAATGTTTTGTTTTGCTAATCAAAAGTATTGAGAAACCAAAAATAAATTTATGCTGAATCCCACATTCTACTCCAATTCTAAGATAAAAGGTAAAAATTATACATGGAAGGGAGTGTGAAGGGACTACAGTATGAATTTTGTAAGAGATATTCATGCAGGAATCGATTTAGAATGTATTTCATTCATGTATGCTGGTGTACACTTTTAAACATACATTTAATAAAATCTATGTTCCATTTTATAAATTTCTCTCTGAGGCATGAGAGGGATCATAATACTTAGACATAGGCTTGGTTCATACATAATGCTAAGCTCGACTACTGTTTGCTTTATGCTTAGAATCCAGCTGTTATGTGTTTTGTCAGTATGCTAAGTCATAAATTAACTGGGTGCAAGTGTGACAACCAAATTCCAATGACAGCCAAATTATGTTTAGGAGAGAGAGCCTTAACAATAAACTCAAAATATAGATTGATATGGATATAAACAGTCGCTTGTTTAGAAAACCAAGGTTTGGACTTTTTGCTTTTTAAAACCGATTTAACATTTGTATGAGTCAGGTCTTAGAACAGGGACCTTCTAACTTTCCAGTGAGTGTATTTTTTATAGATTTTGTTACATAGAGGTTGAATACTTATCTAGAATATGTGTTTGTGTGCATAGATACATGTTGTTTCAGGAATCTAGACAAATAGATAGACTTAAATTGTAAGATTACAGGAAAACCAAACATAGTATCATTTTCCTCATCGTGCATATTTTGGGAAAACTTGAAGATAACACCCCAATTGGCTTACTTTTCTTGTCAGTGAAATCAGTTGAAGTACAAAAGGAAATTGCTCTAATCACTTTATTCCTTTCATTACCTTTTTTGCATCCAATGATTGTGAAATGAAAAACCTTTATCTAAAACACACACTTACTCTATGGTTGCCATTACTTCTAGAAAAAACAGGCTCCTGTGAAGGAAAGTGAATGTTCACACCTTTCCTATATATCATTTGCAATGTTTTATTATTAAAAGAAACTTCCTAAGTTTGTTTTACAAAATACAGCTTTTCGTTTACTCAAGCATGTACTAAGTTTCTTCAGAAAAGATGTGGGAGAAAGAAATAGAAAAAGTAGAATCAACACAGCAGGAAGCATCAGTCATCAGGAAACAAACATAAGAGGTTTCAGCATGCAATCTTATAGTCCCTAAGAAGTTCCCTCAGTGCCTGTAGGTTTGTTCATATTTCCTTGTGAAGAAAAAGAATTCTAGTAGTAAAAACTATCTTTGGAAAGCCAGAGGCCCCACTGTAAGAAAAAGGAAAAAGGAAAGCCAGAGGCCCCACTGTAAGAAAAAGGAAACTGAAGATCCACTGGACTCCAAATTATTGTTGCAACATGATTCTAATTTTTCCAGTTGTGGAAAGAGATGCATTAAAATTGTGTTTCTTTTAAAGTGGCTAAGGAAAATAAGCAGAAGACTGAATGTTGTTACATGCTTTGAAGACTCCACCTTGACGCTTTGTCAGAGAATAAATGTGACTACTCTGCTTCTGAAGGATTCAATGTTAATTTAATGCTCACTTTAACATTTTCACCTTATTTTTTGGGGTATTCTGCCATTCTGAACATTTCTGGCTTGGGATAACATCTTACTTCTCACTGAGATACAGGGAGTGAATCCTGTTGTACACAGAATATATAGGCATCCTCAAATAAGCGTAATTTGGCTGCATAGATCTTAGCTAGATCTACAGATCTTAGCACAAAGGAAACAAACATAGAAATATAGTGATCATATTTATGATTACAATAATGATCATAAATATAGTGATCCAGAAATCACTGGAGGACTACCACATATATCATAAAGGCCCCAGAGGGACAGTCATGCTACAGAATCTTATGGCATTTAAAGATCAATTAGGTTCTGTTGCAGAAACTTGTGACATATTAAAAACAAACAAGAAGACACTATGTTGCTCCCTAGTCTAACTCCTGTTTCTTCATGAGCTGATATTTCCACAGCAGTTTTGAATGGTGATGTTATCTAATTACAGACCTACCATTTCACAGTATGAGGTAATCTTGGTCTTTATTTACCAAATGCCTCATCTCATTATTTGCCACACAAATCCACCTTATGAAAAACTATCAAAAGGGAAAATATTTTCCATGCTACAAATCAAGGATAGGCAAGTAGTAGTTTTTGGCCCAATTTTCCGCAAAAGATCAAACCAGACTTTAGGAAATAATAGGTTGCTTTTCACAGACTGCTGTTTCACAAAGAAAGAAGATGATATCCAAAGGAGAAGAGAATATAATTAAAAAGAATATATAAAGGGGGAGAAGGTATGCTAGACAATCACTGTCCCAGATATTTCGTTTCTAGCAACACTGCCCCATTTTTTCCTCAGTTGGGGTTACCATGGAGCCTTCGAGAGATGTCAACTGTGGGAATCTTGTCGCTATGGAAAAATGGTAGCATATGCCAACTACAAATGCTTACAAAAAGTCCTTGACTGGCAGCCATTTGTTTAATGCCATTTAAAGTTAAAGTGGCATTGAAAAAGTAACTTATGACTGTTGCAGTGTCTCTGCAGTCATTTATTTTTATATCC